GCTTGCCATTAGAAGGAACTAGTCCTTGGAAAAGGACACTGTGCTTGGAAAGGTGGAGGGGCCAGCGAAAGAAAGGAAGTCTCTCAATTGAGACAGACTGACAGACACAGTGACTGTAGCCACAGGCTGCAGAGATGTTGAGAATGATATGTATGGTATGAATGATAGGGGAGCATTCAGATTCATTGCACATAGAGTCGCTAGGAGCTGTAGTCACTTCAACAGCATCTAACAATAGCAACAACAAGAAGGAAATGCAAAGGCCAGTTTGCAGCCCACAGTCAGCTCTCGCCCACTCATTGACTAAGTTGCCAGAAGCAGTTTTCAAATCAGCCCAGATACAGCACAGATAGGGATGGCTCTGCTGCCCTCTGCTGTTGGACTGCTGACAACATGGCAACTATGGTCCTCAAACGCTCGGAGTAAGAAGAACAGTGAGTCAGTTCAACGTCTAGTTCACTAGAAACAGGGTGGTGTTTCCGGCACTCTCCTTCTGTGGCACTGACACATTCCTGTGGCAAACCCGATTTCTGATTTCCCCCAAAGGGTGCAGCTCAGACTTAGGCCTCTCTCAGCCTGGGCAGAAGCCTTCAAAATACATGTTTGATTCTTATTATAGCTTCCTCTCTTGAACTAACTATAACTTGAATCACCACTGACTGATTCAGCCCAGGAGAGAACATGGAGAACAGAAACTTCAACATGCAAAGATCTTAACACATTCACCTCTTGTTTACATCCCCTGCTGCTGTCCCAGACACAGACCTCATGAGGCTAGAAAGGGTATCAGATTCTCACAGTAGAGACTAGTTCACCCACCTGGTGTTCTCAGCAACTAGCCTGACATATCAGAGAGCAGTGAGTCAAGGTAGTGTTACGGCTCCAGGCCTGCTTCATTCCCCAAGGATTCTCTAAAAACTAGGCATTGTTTGCCTTCCATGGTAAATCACTATTGGATTTCTAATTTCCAGGGGAAGATACTCACTGACCTAAATATGACATGGACTATATAAAAACCCCTAAACTGCATGGGAGGAGATTCCCCATCTTTCTCCCTTGGAGCTGCTGGGTGGATTCAAACCAGTCACCTTTAGATTAACAGCACACTCCACACACTTACATCACCAGAGCGCCCGGATACGAACTAGAGTAGCTTATTGACCATTCAGCATTTAACGAGCTTCCTAGATGCTGGGGCATGAGCAGGACAACTTCATGGAATTTGAGCCTTAGGAGGGGAGAGACACTAAACAGCAGTACCCAAAGTTAATGAATTACATTGCTGCACAACAGCGCTCCTGTTGTGACAAGGAGCATATGTCTCCATTTTGCTGCCAAAGTTTCATTGCAAATGACAGAAGAACAAAGATTAAACAGAGTACAAGCTCCTCATGCTTAAATTTGGCCATTTTGTTCGTTGATCTATTCCAGGAACCTGGAACAGAGGCCTTTGAGCTGTGGTGTTGGAGAAGAGTACTGAATATCCCACAGACTTCCAAGAGAATAAACTGATATGTCTTAGAGAAAGAGAAGCCAGAATGCTCCTTGAAATCAAAGATGACTGAGCTTTGTCTCATACACTTTGGACATATTGTTAGGAGAGGCTACTCTGTGGAAAGGGACATCATGCGTGGAAAAGTGGAGGGTCAGCAAAAGAGAGGAAGACCCTCAACCAGGTGGACTGACACAGTGATGTCAGAAGTGAGGAAGATGGTGCAGGATAGGACAGGGAGGATTGCTATGAGTCGTTCTCAACTCAATGACACACAGCAATAACAACAGAACAGTGCGCGGCCATCAACTTCTTGAATGAATGAATAGATGCAGACAGAAGAATGGAGCAATCTCAGGTGGGGCTCTTCATTCCCAGTCCTGGGCACTCAAGTGTCAGTGGAGGTGCTAAGGTCTCTGCTATGGGATCTGACCCCAGGAGTTCAAGCTCTTCTCCTATCTTCCACCTAAATGGGCATTGGCTGGTCCTGAGATCCTGACTCGACCTCATGCCAAAGGATCATTATTGTGTTAACTGATGTTTCACATTTACAACAATAATAAAAGATCTACCTATTTTATGCATTAATGATACACACGTGATAGGGACACTGAGGTACAAGGCAAGAGCAACTGTGTGTGATGGTTGAGGTTACGAGTCAACTTTGCTGGACCACTTCTTTGTTTGGCAGCTATGTATGATGTGGTCATTTTCTATTTTGTCATCAGTGTGGTCATTCTCCAGTTTTGCATAACAGCTTAGTCTCTGGAGCCTGACCATGGCAGTACAGAGTGGGTGTAGTCATGATCCATGTTGTCTAAAAGAGTAAGTAGAACACTTTCTGCCTGAAAGTCCGGTCACTGTTATTGGACCTAACCCAAGGGTGTGCAGGGAGCCCACTGCAGGAGACTGCATAGTTAGTCCTCAAACTGGCCACCTCCATGACCAGGCACACAACCACCATCGCCACCATGACCATGAAGATACTCATTCATTCTCAGAGTGCAGGGATATCTATTTCATTTCTGGAAGAGACAGGGGATTCGGTATGTATTTTTAAGATGGTCACATAGTTGTAGACAATCACACGACTGGATGCACCCACTCTTGACCCAGCTGTAAAAAGCTGTCATCCAGGTGTTAGGAGATGCTACCCCTCTGTTCATGTGTGAATGTCACAATAAAATTTTACAATATATAAAGTTTACATTAAAAAAGAAACAGCTGAGGGAGTTCTCGTGGCCTAGTGGCAAGAAGCTGCACTGCAAGCCCAGAGGTGAGCGGTTTGAATCCACCAGATGCTCTGCTGGAGAAGGAGGGGCAATCTCCTCCTGTACCAGTCAGATCTGATTCGATGGCGCGCGCGCGCACACACACACACACACACACACACACACACACACACACACACCCCAAACAGCTCGGAGCCAAAGCCTCCCCTCCTGCCCTTCTATGTGTCTGTCGTCTTTCCTTCACCTGCATCCTCCTTTTCCTTTCCTGCTGGCATTGTAGGTTAAGCAGGGACTGCTAACTAAGAGTTAGTGCAGCACCCTGAGGAAGAAAGCTGAGACTGTGCTTTAAAGACCCACAGGCTCGGAAGCCTCAGGGGCCAATCTCATTCTGTCTTATAAGGTTAGTAACAGTTGGAATTGACTCAGTGGCTAGGTTGGTTAGTTATGGTCCCCTTCTTCTCCCCTTCAGAGGTGACAGGAGCACTCTGGCCTCAGTTGTGTCTTTCTCTGAAGTTCAGGAAAAGATAGCAGTTGGTGGTCTTCAGGTTGAAGCTGACACAGAGATAGACGCTGCTTGGTCTACCTGGTATTTTTTTTTAAAAATTGAGCTCAAATTAGAAGACTATGTGTTTTTTTAACTGACAAGGCCAGTTTCTGTTTTCCCTGGAACAATCCAGGTCTATGTCCCACAAGGCAATGATTCTGTGGCTGGTCTCGAGTCCGCACTGCACCTCCTAACCTGCTCCCTCCTACGTGCTCGCTCCAAACCCTCCCTGCACCTGCAGAGCTGCTCTCCTCCATGTAGAGACTGATTTCTTGGAACCCACATCTCTAGCAAATGTGGGGAACCACAGGTAGCCAGAGCAATGGGGCTTCTGCACACTTGGCCTGCCTCCTTCATTTACATCCTCTGCTGACTTTGCATGCCCTCCTTTGAAGAGGATGGTGGCTTCCAATCAGACAGATTTTTAGACAAAAAAGTGGCCAAGCTGGCTCTTAGAGAACCATCTGCACAGATGGACTGGCCTCGCTTAAATGATCTGGTCAACAGTGACACAGTCATGACACCTTCATGGCAGGGTAGTGGACACACTTGGCCAGGCCAGATGGCTGAAGTCAGCAGCCACCTGGGTTCAACTGAGGATGTCCAGAGACATCTGCAGAGATCCTGAAATCAGATTCATGGCTCTGACCTTTAAACAAAAATTTTATGAGCTCCAGATGAAGTCCAGCTGCACGCAGAGACTCTTAGCCTTTGACTGGACCTTGCGTCTATAGCAGCAAGGCCAGCTGTGCTCACAATCCTAGCAGGGCAGAGCCTGAGCTGGAGGAGGATGGTGCAGGTGACCTATACAGGTCACTTCTGCTCAGATTTCTATTAGGTTCTGGGATTCTAATAAGCAGGTATCATCTCAACATCAAAACCACCTCCCTGAACACAGTCTACAAGGACTGCTCATTCAACTTCCCCCACACCCCAGCTAGCTTATTTTACTTGTGGTTGTATATCTCTTTTGTTTAGAAGTGTTATTTATTTTTAGTGAATGAATATATAACCAAAGGCCCACCATTTCAACAACATCTACTTGTACAATTCAGGGACATTGATAATATTCTTCACATTATACTACCATCCCAACACTACTTTTCCAAAACTTTTTTGAAATAAGTAATCCTAATACTACTATCTTAAATTCACCAGCTCCCTTAAACTTTATATCCATGGGGTTGCCATTTTGACCACACACAGATAATTTTTTAAAACAGTACAAATTCAAAGCAGACATAATTTACTAATTAAGCTAAATTGTGTTCTGGTTCAAAGAAGATTTCAGGGACTCATTTTGTTTAAAGACCATTTCAGAGCAATAATTTCAAGGTTACATCCAACATCAATGGCTCCAGAAAGTCTCGATTCCATTGGGAATTACAAAGTCCAGTTTGCATTTTCTCCTCTTTTGGTCAGCACTGTTTTATACAATCTCTGAACACACATTCAGTAATAGTAGCCAGGTACCATCTAATGCTGGGAAGAGTTGTTCATGGAGACAACCAGACACACACTGGATTTCTGTTTATGTTTGTTTTATGCCTCCTTTGTTTAAAAAAGTTTGGAAGGCAGGTAAGCGTGTTTTATTCACAGAAGTGTATTTTCATAGGCCACCATTAGAAAGATAGATTTATTGTATTCTCCTTGATCAATCAATGGGCCAGATAATTTAGCCCTGTCACTTCCCTCCCTTCTTGTCCCCTGACATTGTAATGGGTTCCAGTACCTGCATGGCTTTGACTTCGGGGAAGTCTCCCGCAGAAATCTGGTACTCCCGCTGCAGTTGAATGTAGATTTCTGGTAACCTGCTGATAAGCTCCCTCTTCTTGTTTTCCTTTCCAAACACACTTGGCATCTCCTTCTTTAGGTAACTGATGATGTAGGCATGTACCTGAAGGGGCACATGACAGATGAGAACAGGCACTTGCAACTGTATCAGACACGAAACAAGCAAAGGTTTCTCGCATGCACGCTAACATTGACAGGTGACCACACAGGACCATGATTCTCAAGGCCCTCAGAAATTCTCTAGTGAAAATTTATTCCCTATGTTGTTCATTCCAGCCCACAGTAAGAACTGCCCAAATGTCTGTAGTATAAAAGTTCTTGTGTGGTACAAACAGAATGCACTCTGCTGAGAACCAAAAGGTTGGCAGTTTGAACCTGCCTGGGGGTAATGCAAGAAGAAAAAAAGCTGGTGATCTGCTTCATAAAGATTATATCCAAGAAAATCCTATGGAGTAGTTCTACTCTAACACACTTGGTGTCCTAAGTCATCAGTAACTAAACTAAAATCAGCCACTAATAGTTATGATGTAACAATCTTAACTATAATGAGCATAACTCAACTTGGCAAGCTATCAGTTTTAGGCAATAACTATTAGGCAGCTTAGAGGATAAGGAGTTGCACTGTCAACTCAAAGGCAAGTGGTTCGTGTCCACCAGCTGTACCGCAGGAGACAGATGGGCACTTCCCTCCTGTGTAATTTACAGCCTCTGAAAACCTGTTGGAGGTGAGTTATGAGTCCATTCCAACTTGCGGGCACACAACAACAACAATAACAACAACAACAACTACTAACTAACCGGGACTAGGTGTTTCTAAAAACTGTTGTGATGGTGTTCCACCCCAGCTTGAAGTTCTTTTAGAAATTTTCAGCCTCTGGCTATAGTTCAGAAATACTTGACGGGCTATCTGGTTGTCTACACAGGGAGTGAGGGGTACCAGTAGGGTCTAGGAAGAAGAGATGGTAAGTCTGTGCTTAATTACCATCCTAAGAGAAGATGACACTAGAGTTGGGACTAGTGTCCATGAGCCCAGGAAGCAAAGTTAGAGGCTGAAATAAATGCTGATTGATCTACATGGAACTCCATGCCTGTGAATAAAGAGATGAGAATTTCCATAACCACCCTGTGGATAGTTTACATTCTATGGTCTTTGCAGGTGGCACCGTTATTTCTGCATAGGACTAGTGGTGAGACCATGCGGGGAGGGCAGGTGTTTCGTCTGGCAGAGGGGAACCCCAGCATGTTGGTGACCTAGGGGGTAGAAGAAAGAAACTGCTACCTATAATGTGTGTGTAGAAAAAAGAGAAAGAATGAATGAGTGAATGAATGAATATGAATCTTGCCAGGAGGGCTGTCTGAACTTGTTACCCTCTTTCTTAACATTTCCACTTCTCTACTGATTTTCCCCTTTAGTATATTTAGGAATGCTCATTAACAACACTCTCTTTGTTTATCTTGAATACTACAGAACAACTGAGAAGCCAAGTAAATAACTAAAATAAGAAAGGAAATAAAACAGAGCAATGATTACAAAAAGAAAATGACTATATAGCTATGGAAAACCCTGTTAGAGAACAGACTTGTACTATGACCGTGGAGAAGGGAAGAAATGAAATAGAGGAGGCAAAGGAACACATTGTACAGCTCCGTGGATGGCGGAGCCAAAGATATTCACTAAGATCTGAGTAAAAAGAAGTGTATAAATGAAAAAACACACATGATTTCCCATCAATGCAAAGGCCACTTTACAAAAAACCTGCAACATCACACTGGCAGGCTACTGCTAAGAGTATAGACTTGGAGAGATAAACCAAATCTGTCTGTCACAAATCTATGTAATTTAAAATATTTACAAGATTCTCTGAGACAACCAGAGAAACACAATGCTTTGGAACACTGCATTTAGAATTCGAGGCTTTCTGCCACAAGATAACCAGTCGTAAAATGGGCACAGGATACGAACAGACACTTCACCAAAGAGGACATTCAGATGGTGAACAAAGACAAGAAGAAATGTTCAAAATTCCTAGTTCTTAGAAAGATGCAAATCAAAACAACTATGAGATATCATCTCACCCCAATAACAATAGCAAAATTCAACATAGCAGCAAACAACAGATGCTGGCGAGGTTGTAGAGAAACTGGAACCCTTATTCACATTTGGTGGGAGTGTAAAATGGTGCAACAACTCTGGAAAGCAGGATGGCGCTTTCTCAAAAAGTTGGAAATAGTAATACCATTTGACCCAACAATTCCACTACTGAGAATATACCCTAAAGAAACCATAACCACCACCCAAGCAGATATATCCACAGCCATGTTTATTGCTGTTTGTTCACAATAGCAAAGAACTGGAAACAACCCAAGTGCCCATCAACAAATGAATGGGTAGAAAAGCTGTCATATATTCACAATGGACTTTTATGCAGCACTGAATAACAAGGAACTCATGAAATATTATACAAAATGGGTGACCCTGGAGGACATTATGCTGAGTGAAATATCAGTTACAAAAGTACAAATAGTGCATAATGCCATTGTTATAAAACAGGACAGACATGGGGGTTAGGGAGAAACTAAGAAAAGAGGGGGTAAATAATGTACACAGCACTGAAACAGATGAGGGAGAGAACTGTATAAAGGGCATATATGATTAGGTATTACTGGCATGACAGGAGTCCAGAATAAGAGCTGCATAGAAAAGTGGTCTGGAGAGGGGGTGGGGTGTGTGTGCAAACAGGACTCTGTAACAATGAATGAATGTTTTTCCCCAAAGAAAAAAGCAAACTGGAGGGGGGCAGGGAGGAAAATGTGCAACAATGATTGAATGGAAATCCAAGTTCTTTATAAACTTTCATTAAAATATCAATAAAAATACTGTATATACAGCAAATATATATGTAACAACCATTAGCCACTTGACACAAGATTATTTTCACCAAATTAGAGGCTTTAAATGGAATTCCTGAGGATATGATGGATAAATGGTAAGACTAGAAATTTCCTTGCCTTGGACGGGTCTGGAGTGGGAGGGCTGGGCCCTGAAGACCACTGAAGGGCTCGGCATGGTGGCCACACTCAGATGGGGAGAATCAGCTGCTTACTAGACATCCTTACGACATTTTCTCAGCCTTGGTCCTTCTGGACCACTGCCTGTGAATGAATACTGTCCCGTGTGGCCCTTGTCTGGAGCTAGCCCCAACTAAAACAGAAAGGCCCACAGCTGCTCAGTCTCTCAGCTGAAGCAGCTGAAAACTCCTGCAGGCCTCCTGAGACCACTGTGTTGCCCATCAGGTCAACGGTACCTCAGAACTTCCAGATCTCTGCTCAGAGAAGGCTCCCTCCCCACTTCTCCATCTAGCTGACTGCCATCCAGCACCCTAGGATAGGTACCCCACACGGGAACACCACCTGGTGGACAGAAGCATGACCTAGCTGGACTGAACTGCAGGTGAGATATACCTGCCATCACCCTTCTCCCTCCTACACCTCATGGTGTTTTCTGGGTGATGACTGAGGTGGCTGGACAATGAGCCACCTCAGACATGAGGCCATCAGTACACTGACACGCTCGCTGTGTGTAAACCTCCTGCTAGGCTTCAATTCCTCCCTTTCTCCACCTGCCTGGCACTGCCTAAACCATGACCCTCAGAAGACCTGCTCATGCTTGTGGCTATGCTCTGCCTCAATCACCACTTCCAGGCTGTCCCAGCTCCCTCCTCCTGTCCTAAGACAATAACCTCAGGTCAGACTCCATGCACAGCTTCTGCCTTTAAGAAAAGTAACTTCTGACTCATAGACTCGTGGAGCATTGAACCTGGCAGAGACCTCATTAATCTAATTTAAGATTCCAGGAAGTTCTCTGACTTACTCTAGGTAAGATAGCCAGCCAGGTGTTGTGGAGTGGGCACTAGTGTTCCACCATCTCATCCTGTCCCCATATAATTGCTTTCTATGAATAGGAGTTAAAAATCGTACTACAACTGTTGAAAATCTAAAATTTCAAAAGAGCTATGTTCTAGAGAACAATATTGAGTCCTTATGGCACAGTAGTTAAAATGGTTGGCAGATAAAAGAAAGATCAGCAGTTCGAACCCACCACAGAAAACCACTAAGAAGGAAGATGTGGCAATTGTTTCAGTAAAATGAATGGATTCCACAGCATTTTTTCCCTTCCTTAAGAGATAACTGACAATGAATAAGACAATGAACCTGGTTTAACTCACAAGTGAATGACAGTGATCTTTGGAGGCTTCTGAACCTTCTTATCATGCCCAATTTCTCCACTCACTTGTATACAATTAGAAAAGCCCGACAACATCCAATAGCAAACAAACTTTAAAAACAAAACCCAACAGTGAAGTGGGGGAACGACAGCCTTTTTAACAAATGGTGTTGGCAAAATTGGAAAAATATCTGCAAAAGACTCAAGCAAGACCCACACCTCACTCCATA